AGCTGCTGACTGTTTCCTTGAAATACTTGTATTCTTTATCGGGCGGTGCACTTAAATCATGAGAAAGCACGTCGCTGAACAACCGCAGCTGTCCTGAAGGAGGACGTGTGTTGTAGCTCCTGAGGGAATTCTCTTTGCGGTGACCAACGAGAGATTGTCATGATATTGCGATCAGAAAGACCTGTATGAGACCATAGGGTTATGCCTGTGGCCCTGACACAAGTCAAAATTTGGAACTTCGTCTTCAAAATACATTTTTGGGGGCGTTTTTTTCCTCGAAAGAAACTATTAATTTTTAATTTTTGAACTTGTACCGGGAAAACACGAAAGTTGTGACGTCACAACTGTGTTTACATATCCTCATGCAAACATGGCTATCAACCAATCACAGCGTGCGTACTATTTAATTTATTTTATAAATTTTCTTATTCTAGACACTTCCAGAGCATGTGCAAAACCCCTTTTTCCTTATATCACTTTAGTGTTTTTGGGAAGATTCGTCACTATGAATGACATGACAGTTCTCGGCACTTTGTAAACACATCGAAGATTGATTAGAGACTGAAGGGGGTCCTGATTTCATTCCCAGCCCAAAATGTGTTTTGTGATACTTGATTGTTCGATTTTTTCACAGACTTGAGAACTCAAATTTGTCCGAAAGACAATAACGATCGAAAATACGTTCGTATCAGAACCTACAACAACAAATACCTTTGGGCTTACGGCACGGAAAATGGCGACAACAGTTACGTACGAACTCGCTGTTGTGGCGGAAAGGACGCGGTTGGTCGAACTGACGTCATGATTCCAGGATTACGAACAACATTCCGAGTACACTGTGGCAAGATTGGCAACCAAGACACTGTAAGGTTTGAAGTGCTCACGGATAAAAGAACTGGTGTTATTCGTCCATCTGGGTACTACTTTTACGCAGACACACGTTGGAAGAAACTGTTTTCAAAACAAAATCCAAGTTCTTCCGACAGCGATGCTAACTTCATCCTCACTCGCTGGCGTGGACCTGTAATTGCTATCAAATCTGCCCGTAATAGATACTGGTGGACCTTTGCTGAAGATGGTCATGGATCTATTTTGATAAAGTCTCATACTGTTCAACGATACCCTCGATTCCCRCCACTTTATGATGCTTTCACTTTGGAGATGGGTAAGGTTTACGCAAGCAAGGACCGCGGCGCAGGCGCCTAAAAAGGATGAAGGGGGGAGGGGGAGGGGGGCCAAGAAAAACTATGTTAACATGCTTTAATCTTATACAGTGCCAAGGGAATGCATTGAAGTTCCAAAATCAGAACGAATCTTGGCTGCTGTGAGTGCAACGAATGTGGAAGAATGCGAGAAAAGGCCGGACCGATGTTTCTTTTCAGACGGTTGGGATACAACCAGGCACGTTGTACTTCCTGGAACCTGCTTCTACAAGAAAGGTAATTAGGTTTGAAGTTCATACGACGCCTCACAGCTTCTTTAGATGTTTAAAGGGTATGGGATCAATTAAATTTTCGAATTCGTAAATACATTTTTTAATTCGGAATTATTTTTAGATTCCATGTGTTATCAACCAAACGTGGCTTCTCGAAGAAGCTGTCCACAGCAAGGCTCAAAAGACTGCGAAGCAGCGAACTGTTGCTATGACTACCAACGAAACACGTGCTACCAGGGCAACTGAAGCGATCTGATGCCTTCATTAAAAGCTATTCATGAAGATTGGTTAACAAGGAACTGACCGACTGATTACTCCATACTTCTATACCTTTCTGCGGCTTGTATTCTACACGAAGCCCTTACAATGATTTTTACTTAACCCGTGCAACAAAAATTATTGTAATCAAAAGAGACACAAATAAAAACAGTGGTAAAAAGTTGACTAACCTATATTAGTCTATTAYATATCATTACGTATAGTATAATGAGACACTGATTAAACTATACTTAAGGCAAAAACATTCTGACTTTTCTTGTTTGAAAAACTTAGTTTCCCTGCTTATGATGCGCATGCTTACAGAACTAAGACCGCTACTTTTGAAACAAGTAAAGAAGAAGCTCACCACCGAAGAGCCGGAGCGAGTTAATATATACAGCTTCCCACTTTGCCTTTCATGGAGGTATAGCAATAAACGTACATATTATGGCTATATATGGCTCACACTTTCTTTAAAGTGCCACTAAGCCCTAGCTCGATATTTTCAGTATTGATTCTACATGAAGTGAATAGTTGAATGGTAAAATACTATTGATTTGAGTGATGCATCTTGGAGATATCAAGGTTTATACATCCAATATGTTAATGACTGTGGTGTCATTATAGGCATTATGGGCAGTAAAATATCCTTTATAAAACACCGTTGTCTTACTCAGGGTTTATAGAAAGTTTATTGCAAACTTGTTTTCTCATAATAATAAGTCGTCACTGATTGGCAAATAATRAAAAATAAATCAAAATCCCTATAATGCATCACAGTACTGACAATTTTGAGTTAGGGGTTATAAGCACTTAAAAGGTGTCCCATAGGAGTATCTTTGCAAATAGGCGACTTGCACTAAGAGGTCACGTGATCAAATCCGCCATGCGAGCTATGCGAGAATGTAAACAAAGATGGCGGATTCGGGTATTTTCTATGGTGGTAAAAGGTAAATTAGCGCACTAAATAACGATAAGAAACCCTTTGTCTTGCAAGAAATATATTCTTACTAGATGTGTAAAGTAGATTTTTGCTATGAACTCGCAAAGAAGAGAAAAGATATGGTATTTATTCCATGGCCTCAAAACATAGCACATTTTTCCTCTTCCTAGCGCATTAATAACAAACATCTACTTAAGCTATTTATTAAAAGTATATTTCTTGCAAAAAAGAAAAAAAAAAGAAAAAAAAAAAAAA